CAGCAAGAATACCTCGACTTTGTTTTCGTCGACGTGGCCTGACACGCTCTCGAGCATGGTGACGGGGTTGGTATCGTCGGCGAGGTAGATGGACAGGTTCACGGTGCCATGCTCCGCGTTCGAGAGCTGGACGCTCACCGTCTTGTTGGAGCGGTCCCACTTGATCTCTGCGATGTACACCACCACCACACAACCTCGTATTAGATGCGAAGGTGCCGAGGTTGTCGAGAGAGGCGGAGTACTCTTGACGCAGGAGTCCGGGTTGTCTTGGTAGAGGCTTTGGAGCTCCTTTACGACAGCCTCGGTGGCCAGCTCGCTGCGCTTGAGCGCCTTCTTGGGCTTTGGTTCCTCTTTGATCTGTGCGACGCAGCAGTACAGTTCCAGCTCAAGGTCAGTCGCTGACAACTCTCATTCGCACTTTGCAAATAAGGGCTTAGCGCACCTCGACAGTCTTCTTCGGCTGCTTCTTCGTTTCTTTCATGTTCTGCGAGGCGTGCAGATAGGAATTGACCAGGGCCATTTCGTCGCTCTCGCCCTCGCCCTCAGACTCTTTCTTCTTGTCGTCGCGCTCACTCTTGGGCCTCTCCTTCTTCTTGTCGTCGCCCTTGTCGGACGATCGGGACGTCGGCGAGGGCTTGCTGTCGGACTTCACCGAGCGCTCGTCTTCCGAATCCGAGCCTGCTTCACTCGCGGGTCCGCTCTCGTCCTACAATTATGGCCCAGAGTCTTGTGGGTTAGCCGGAAGAAGTTACCGTTACAGTGGCAGCGGTGTGTGTGGTGTGTGGTGTGTGTGGTGTGTGTGATGTGTGTGGTGTGTGTGGTGTGTGTGGTGTGTGTGGTGTGTGTGGTGTGTGTGTGTGCGCGAAATGTGTTTGCCGTACACCGGGGAGGCGCAGGGTGAGGATGAGTCGGATGTCGCCGGATACGACCTCCTTCGGCCGGCCGGGCCTCGGGCCGAGCTGATACCATTGGTCGAGTTTGGGTTTGCCCTTGAGGGATTCGGGGCTGATGGTGACAGTGCCCAAGAAGTCCTATGTGCGTGCACAACCAGTCAAGAGGCTGTCAGAATTAGGGAATGCCTGCACGAACTAGGATTGCTGTGGGCAGTGGCCATACGTCACGCCAGAGGCGGTCCTTGTCCCACACCACAACCTGGAGGTGGCCCGGGTCGGCGGTCGTGGCGCTGTGTGGCCGCGCGTGTGGGCCGGTGGCCGGTGGGCAGTGAGCCACACACAAGCAAAAGTAAAAGCAATCGGGCAGCAAGCTGGGACCCAGACGTACAACTGAAAGGGTTCGCCCCAAGCCGGGTTGAGTGTCTTGCGGATGTGGCGTGTCTGCTGCTTCTGCTTGCCAAACAGCAACACGCAGTACGGATCCGAAAAGCCTAGAGCACCCGCGGTGAACAAATTCATGGTAGATTAAAAATAAAATAAAAACCGGGATTCACAGAAACGTGAATAATATAATAATAAATGAGAAAAATAGGCAGCGTCCTTGGACACTGGAAAAGGAGAGGGGGCGAACCATTCCTGTCCTTGGCGGCCAGGTTCCGCGCTTCGACAACTGAAGGGGGGGGGTGAGTGAAT